GGTCTCCCTCGGGGCAAAGCAGCATGGATGCAAAACGAGGTAAAGCAGCCTCAAGACACTCAAGCTCAAACTGCCTATCCTCAAGGACGTCACAGCCAAGGGCAGGCTCACCTCCGACGGACGGAGGACAGACAGACTCAGACTCAGTAACAAGACTCGCGACGTAGTCGAGACGACTCCTAGCAGCAAAGTCGACTAGCTCAGTGACTAGGGAAAACGCAGCAGTAGACTCAAAAGAAGGGTCAATGACGACAGTGGCGAGGAGACGGGTGACAGTAGGATTGGCAGCACGAGCAAGGTCGGACTCAGGGTCAGGAACGTCAGGAAGAGAGGACGCCGGAAGAGACGGCAGGACAACACGCTGTGGAACAGAGGAAGGACGAAGTGCCATAGCGTGCGTGCCGGGGACAGGTGGAGGACGAGAACGACGAGCACGACTGACAGTGCGAACAGGGGAGGCAGGACGAGACTCAGGCTCACAACGATCTGCCAGGGAGCCTGTTTGTGCAGGGTAGGGAGAAGGAGCAGGCAGTGGAGAGCCAGGCAGTAACTGCGGCTGTGACTGGTCAGGCGGAGGACACAGGAGAGGCGGAGTGAGGCCAGTGGAAGACAGGAGACTAAGAACCTAGCGAAGGGCTGAGTCAGGCGGTGGTAGGGACGACTGCGGCTGCGGGTAGAAAAACGGTCGGCACGGTGCAATACCCGTACCGTCAGCAGCTCCAGTACCTCCAGCTCCAGCGCCTCCAGCACCAGCAGCACCTCCAGCATCTCCAGCACTAGCAGCACTAGCACCTCCAGTGCCAGCAGCTCCAGCACCTCCAGTACCTCTAGCACCAGCACCTCCAGCTCCGGCAGCTCCAGCACTTCAAGTACATCCAGCTCTAGCAGCACCTCCAGCACCAGCAGCACTAGCACCTCCAGCACCAGCACCAGCACGTCCAGTACCTCCAGTACCTCCAGCTCCAGCGCCTCCAGCACCAGCAGCACCTCCAGCACCTTTAGTACCAGCAGCACCAGCACCTCCAATACCTCCAGTACCTCTAGCACCAGAAGCACCTCCAGCACCTCCAGTACCAGTAGTACCAGCACCTCCAGTGCCAGCAGCTCCAGCACCTCCAGTACCAGCAGCACCAGCACCTCCAGTGCCAGCAGCTCCAGCACATCCAGCACCTCCAGTACCTCCAGCTCCAGCACCTCCAGCACCTCCAGCTCCCGCGCCTCCAGCACTAGTAGCACCTCCAGCACCAGCAGCACCTCCAGCACCAGCAGCTCCAGGACCTGTAAAACTCCAAGCTCCAGCACCACAGCGGCCTTGCCGAACGACCCACCCACGAAGCTGCTGCGGTGAGGGCGTCTCGAGTCGACTAGGCGGCTGCTGCTGTCCAACGTCAGGACCTGCAGCAGGAGCACCCACGGCCCCACCACCACTAGGACCCGCAGCACCCCCAGAGTCAGCACCCCAAGAACCCTCACCCCCAGTCTCAGCACCCCCAAGACCAGCACCCCCAGTCTCAGCACCCCCAGGACTAGCACCTCCAGAGTCCTCACCCCCAGTGTCAACACCCCCAGCAGCACCATTGTCCACAGCTACACGCTGCAGAGGCGGCGAAGACGGTCGAGGCGGAAAACCAGGAGGGGTCTCCAGGCGGGGAGAGCGACGAGTGGCCGCCGTGTCGTCACCGGCGGGGTCACCCCCCTCAGCCGGGCCAGAGGTGTCAGAGGAGATCACCAAAGGCTCAATCAAGGGGGGGGGGGGTCTACCTGAGACACACCTGAAGGAGCAGGACCCTGTGGAGGAAGGGGGTCTATGGGGGGGGGAACTGGTACCAGGAAGAGAGGCGCCAGAGGGACCGGGTGGGACGTGTGCGGGTGGAGCCTGTAGAAACACACAGACTCGTCAAAGGTGACGTCCTGGGAGGACAGGACTCGACGCGAGCGAGGGTGGTAAAACTGCCACGGCGGGGCGTCGGTGGGGAAGCCCAGGAAGGCGCAGCAGAGAGTGCGAGGAGAGAGCTTGCTCGCGGTCGTATCGCGAACAAGGGAGAGCGCGCCCCAGACCTGAAACGCCGACGCATCGCCAACCTCTCCCGTCCAACGGAGTGTGGGCGAGGTCTCTGGCAAAGAGACACGGGGCCAGAGGTTGAGCTGATGCGACGCTCTGCAATCCCATTTTGCTGCGGAGAGGCCGGAAGCATGAACGACTGGACAATGCCCTCGTCTCGATAGAACTCCGCAAGGAGGCTGGAAGGGAACTCACCCCCCCTGTCAGAGTGCAGACGCAGGACTGGAAGGTCCCGCCGAAACCGCTCGCGCAGCTGGTGACGAGTAGCGCGGATCCAGGGGATCAAAACACCGTGGACGTCCGCCTTGCTGCGCAAGGGGAAGACCGTGGTGTAGCGCATGTAGTCGTCAACGACCAGCAGGAAGTAGCGCTCCTGGTCCGTCCCACGGACGGGGGCCGGGCCCCACACGTCCATGTTGAGAGTCTGCAGAGGCGCAGTGGTCGGAGGAAACGAGGAGGAGTGAGGGGCCGCGCGCTGTCGTCCCTCGACGCAGGGAAGGCACGGCGGTGCAAGTGAGCGCGGGAGGGGGGGCAGGCACCTGGGAAGGCCAGAGACAAGGAGACGCGAGTGCATGCCACGAAGGCGCGGCAGAGAAGGGTGACCGAGTTGGTGGTGACAGAGGAGAGTCTGGTGGGAGAGCATCCGACACGAGCATGACGCAGCGAACTGACCAGACGCAGACACCTGACTCGACGCAGCCACCTATGCAGACGTAGTGGTGAGGGTGTACAGACTGGACCCAGGCTGACGAGTGAACGTAGCAAGGTGACGGCCAGTCCGGGAACACGTACAGATCGCCACACGCTGTCCTCCAGGAGTAAAGGTGTCAACCCATACATCCTGAAGGACTGCGTTGCTCACCAAGTTCGTCGAGAACAAGGGGAGGTGGAGACTTGAAAGAGAGTCGGAGGGGACTGCCGGACACGGGAGGGCAGTGGAGGCCCGTGCTACGACAAGACCCCCAGAGGGGTCAGCCAGTGAGACTGGGACTGGTGCAGCGAGTGGTGTGACTGTGGTGCAATCACGAAAGAAGCAACGAGACGCACCAGAGTCAAGTGTGAAAGTGTGCAGGGCCTCAGCTGAGGCAGCAGACTCACTAGCAGCAGACTCACTAGCAGCAGACTCACTAGCACATGTGGCAGCACACGCACTAGCACCTAGAGCGGCAGCTGACTCACTAGCACCTAGAACAGCAGCACCTTCACCAGCAGCGCAAGGCACACACGAGTAACAGGCACCCTCAGCACTTATAGCATCAACATACATAGCATAGATAGCCTTGTTGATCTGAACAAAGTCAAGAGCAAACACATCCACATTCTTTTCTATCAGGCCCAGCAAGTTGGGGACCTCCTGCTCATCACCGTACTCGGTCACCCAGGCATCCTCGAGACGACCGAAGCAGCGATACTCAGTGTGTCCAGGCTTCCCACAGGTCTGACCCTTCTTCAGCCCCGTGCACCTGACATACGAGCAGCAAACAGAGCCCCCAGGGGAACCACGCTGGACAACCCACTCACGAAGCTGCTGAGGGGTGGGTGTGTCCAAGAGGCGTGGCTGCTGCTGTCCACTCCCATAGCCTCCGCCGCCACGAGCTGAACCCCCATAGCTTCCACCCCTGCTAGCTCCACCCCGACCACCTCCACCACCCCCGCCGCCTCCACCAACCCCTCCACCTCCACCACCCCCGCCACCTCCACTGCCTCCACCTCCGGTGCCACCTCCACCACCTCCACCCCCGCCACCACCACCCCCGCTACCACCACCGCTAGCGCCACCCCAACCACCCTTACCCCCCTTGCCCCTGCCGTTGCGGCGCTTCTCAGCACCAAGGAGGTCGACAGCAGGAGCAGTAGCAACTGAGGGAATGAGAGGGGAGGGAGCACACCCTTAAAAAAAGGGGGAGCGGGGAGTGCCACGAGAGGCAGCAACAGCGACAGTACTGGTCTCAGCCTCGAGAAGGTACTTCTCCAGCGAGGCAAGCGTGAGCTCAGTGGGGTCAAGGGCGAGGAAGTGGTCCCTAACAGTGCGGAGGGAGTCAGGGAGGCGTGTGACGAGGAAGTACAGGGTGATATACAGCGGGGGGGGGGGGGGGGGGGGGTTATCAGCGAGGAAAGTCGGCTTGAGAGCGGCGCTGTAGCGAGTCTCACTAGAGCGAAGGTGGGTCATGAGGTCAGCAAGAGTGCGGAAATCTGCGAGCTCAGGAAAGAGGTACGGCAGAATGAGACGGCCTAGGGCAGCAGTAGCTGGGGAGGAGTAACGAGCGACAACGGCATCATAGAGGGATTTGGCCGTCTTCTGCTAACCAAAATGCGCCCTCTCAGCTAGCGGGAGGTGGTTGCGGACAGCATGGCGAGTAGTAGCGTCACACGTGAGCCACTTCGACTGATCTAAGCGGTCGGCAGTATCAGCTGGGGCGGGGAGGGATCCGGACGTATGTTCGATCAATGAAACTCCATCCCTAGCTTCGCTCTGCAGGTACAGCTGGAGATCGTCGAGCCAAACGTCAAAGCTAATTGGGCGACCCTCCGCATCAAAGCTAAGAACCGAAATGGTGGCCATAGTAGCAGCAGTAGCAGCAGCAGCAGCAGCAGCAGCAGCAGCAGCAGCAGCAGCAGCAGCAGCAGCATCTCGTACTCCGTCATTGTCAAGCAGCGCAAGGGGGAGCCGCCTTCGTCTTCCGCCACCGCCGCCGCCGCCGGCCCGCTTGCGCTGCTGGATAGCACGCTTGTGCCGGATTGCGGCACGCTCGCGAAGCTCCCCGCAGTGCCGTCTCAGCGGTTTCCGGCGGCGGCGGCGGGTGCTGTCACGGCGACACGGACGGCGTCGGACGGTGCAACCAGCGCCGTGGCATCCGGGTTGTGCCGGAAGCGCGTTCGGCGGCAGATCCTGGCCGGCGTGAACGGCGAGGCGCGGTCGGGGGAGGTGACGGCGATCATGGGCGCAAGCGGAGGCGGAAAAACGACGCTGCTGAACATCTTGGCGCAGCGGATCTTGTCGGGGCGGCGGAGGGGGGCGGTGGAGTTGGACGGGGAGGAGGTGCACGCGGGGACGATGCGGCGCGTGTCTGCTTACGTGATGCCAGACGACGTGTTGTTTCCGTCGCTCACGGTGCGCGAGACGCTGCTGTACGCCGCTGAACTGCGCCTGGAGCCGACAACTTCGCGACGAGAAAAGGAGGAGAAGGTCGCGCGGCTGATCGACCTGCTCGGGCTGATGAAAGTGGAGAACTCGCTGATTGGCGGTGAGAGGAAGAGGTGAGCTGTCTATTTCCGTCAGAGGAGGCGCGAGCCTTGTGCTTTCTTGTCCCAAGGCTTTGTGATATCGCATCAGACTCGGATGTCCTAAAGCTGCACTCTAACGCTCTCTGTGTATCATCTGTTACCTCATGCCGCGCTTCGCAGGGGCGTTTCTGGCGGTGAGCGAAAGTGAGTGGCGATAGGGGTGGAGATGGTGAGCGACCCGAAGATTCTGTTTCTCGACGAGCCAACCTCAGGGCTCGATTCGACCAGCGCTTACCGCGTCGTACGCGCTATGAAGTCCGTCGCGATTCAGACTTCGAGCATTTGCATGATGGTGATTCACCAGGTGAGCTGAGAACCCCTCGCCAGGTGAGCTTAGAACCCCTCGCCAGGTGACCCCATCCATCAACGATGCAACAAAAATGCGCATCCACCAGGTGAGCCCATCACGTGGTGATTCTGCACCATCATCTGCACCATCATCTGCACCATCATCTGCACTCCACTTACACTCTCGGCCATTCGTCCTCCAAACTGAGACTCAACACTGTTCAATCATTGGCAGCTCTAACCTCCCTTCGTTCTGTGCTTTATTTTTTTCCCCATTTGTTTCGATGTTTTCAACCGTCCTATCGCGTCCTCTGCCTCATCGACAAGCTCCTCCTCCTAGGCGTGGGACAAACAGCCTATCTAGGCCCACCTGCTGGCTTGCCGCATTTCCTCGCCTCTCTGGGAAGCCCGGTCCCGGAAGGCTCGAGCAGCACAGAGCATGGCTTGGATGTCATGGCCGTGTTGCAAGCCCAGGGTGTTACCGACATCCAGGCCTACGCCCAAGCGTGCCGGGACGGCGTGGCCGACCCTGTGGCTGCGGCTCGGAGACCCTTGGAGGTTCCTACTGATTCGGTTACAAAAGTATTGTCTCACAAGGCGAAAACGGCGTTGAGGCGGGTTGGCGCGGAAAAGGAGAAGGTGGGGGGTGAGGAAGAGCCGAAGGGCAGGGAATTTGCAAACGGATGGTTTCGGGAGCTGTGGGTGCTGACGAGGAGGGCCACAACGAACATCATGCGCACTCCTGCACTGTACCTGCTGAGGCTGGCGCTCATCCTTGTAACGGGTCTGCTTCTATCGATTCTTTATTGGAGGCCAGCGGAAACGTGAGTTGGAGTGCCGAGGCTGCTGGGTCAGGTCTGGTTCTTGGTTGGGTAATGGATGGTCTGGTCTGGTGTTAGGCTAGAGAACGGTCGGGCAGGTCTGGTTCTTGGTTGGGTTATGGCTGATCCGGTATGGTGTTAGGCTAGAGAATGATTGGGTAGGTCTGGTGCTAGGCTGTGCGCTGTTGGGAAAAATCAAGAAACATTGATTTGTTTGTTTTCCATCACTTCCTTCCGTTCCCATTGCCCCATGGCTGGTTCGCAGGCCCGAGGGACTTGTGATTCGGCTGTCCTTCCTGTCATGCGCCTGCGCCATTGTATTCTACTCCTCCTGCGACGCCGTCCCGATATTCATCGAGGTACGTTCCGCAGTGGTGAGACGTCCCAAACCTCTGTTCTTCGTGTCATGCGCCAGCGGCATTGTGTTCTACTCCTCGTGCGACGCCTTCCCGATACTCATCGAGGTACACTCTGCAGGACCATTCGCCATCGTTCCGACCCTGAGGGGTTGATCATGTTTCTCATTCTGTCTCGACGCTCGCACTTTTTTTCGGCGCTCGCACTGTTTTCGACGCTCGCACTATTTTTGACGCTTTGTGTTACACGTTGTGAAGCTGCAATGGAAATGCCGTGTTTTGAACTTAGTGGCGCTTTGAGGGATAGCTGCTGCGTTCATTAAGGGCCGCTCAGTGCATCCAATTTTGGTTCTGATTAAGTCGTTTTCATTCCGTGCGCATTAAAGTGTGTAATGATACACTCCCACTCAAGCATCCCCCTTGCCCACTTCAACCACCTTTCCCCTTGCTGCACTGCTCCGCCGCTCAGGAATGCGCAATATTCGTAGGGGAGTCAGCCAATAACGTGTACAGGCCATCAACCTACCTGATGGCGTCAACCCTAGTCTACCTGCCACTTCACTTCCTCATGGCCTTGCTGCTCACCGCCGTCTCCTGGTGGAGCATCAGCCTTGCGGGCGGCGCCGAGGGGTTTCTGTTCATGGTGGTGGCGTATATTGTCATGTTCTTTGCAGCCAATGCGATCGCGACATGTGTCAGCACATGCATTAAGGAGTGAGTGGATTGCGCTGCATATCGCGGTTTCGTCTGAAAGAAATTTGTTGTTTCGTTTCTCAAACACGCAGCGTGTGTGATGAAATATGTGCATCAGACTTTGTTCAGGTGTGTTTCTCACTGTTTTGTGATGCAATCGAGGAGCACCCTTATTGCCATGGTGTTGTGTGTCTATATGTTTCGTTCTCATTTCCCCTCTTGCATCCCCCTTTGAACTACTTTCCAGCAGCATGACTCTCCCTCCTCCAGCTAACGAATCATGTTTTCCCCCAACAGCATGGTACAAAATTACATATTACCGAGTTAGCCTTTTGAGTCGACTTGAAAGTCTTCCCCTTACAGCATCGTACGAAATTACATATTGCCGAGTTAGCTTCCCCCCCAGTGTTGTTCGTATGTCCCTACATCACCACCCCCTGTACCTCGCAATGCTGCCCTGACATATGCACTCGCCATCAGTGCTCTTCATATCTCCCCTCATCACCCCCTCCCTCTCCCTCGCAGTGTCGTCCTGGCATATGCACTCGCCATCTCAACAATGTCTTACTTCTACCTCGTTAGTGGCTTCTACGTTACAAGGAAGCAAATGCCCGTGGTTCTTATATGGCTACACTACCTATCGCCCTTCAAATACGCTTACGAAGCGCTCGCCATTAACCAATTTGGCAGGTGAGCTGCAGGCCATTACTCCCTTCTTCCTTCCAGTTTCCTCAGCGCCCCCCCTCGCAACTCCCCTCGCCGTCAACCAATTCGGCAGGTGAGCTGCAGGCCATTACTCCCTTCTTCCTTCCACTTTCCTCAGCGCCCCCCCCCCCGCAACTCCCCTCGCCGTCAACCAATTCGGCAGGTGAGCTGCAGGCATGACTCCCTTCTTCCTTCCACTTTCCTCCCCAAGCACCTCCCGCAGCCGCAGCACCCCAATCTGGCTCTCTAAGCTTCGTTTCCAGCAGCACCCCACTCTCACTCAATCTCGCTCTCCACGTTTCCTCCCCATTGCACTCTGTATATGATCCCCATGTGAGCTAGGTAGGTTTACACTGGTTCCACACGAGCTAGCTAGCAGGCTGTTGAATTATTTTTTACAACCCCATTTCCAGAGTCAGGTTTAGGGTCCCAGCATGTCACAGTGGTCCCAGCATGTCACACTGGTCCCAGCATGTCACACTGGTCCCAGCATGTCACACTGGTCCCAGCATGTCACACTGGTCCCAGCATGTCACGCACCCTATATTCTCGCTCTCTCATCCCTTCCCTTCCTCTCCCAGGCCAACTCCTTGCTACCTGAATGTAACTGATCCCCCCGCCGAACCTTCCCTGCGATTCTTCCACTCTCCTTACTGTCACTCTCATCCCATGTCTTCTCCCGTCTCTTCTCCCATGCCAAGTCCCTGCTACCTGCGCATCGCTGATTCCATGCCGAGCCTTCCCAACAGCACACTCACCGTACCCAGTTCCGTAAATGACTCAATCGCCATGCCCCCAAGCCCATCCAACGGCAATTCCTCACCCACCCCAACGCCAGAGCAGCTGCAGAGCCAGCTTCTCTCCGTACTCTCTACAAGCCCGATTCCCAAGTCGGCTCTTAGCGGGTTGTCTCCCGAGGTGCGAGCGCAGGTGGAGGCGGCTTCGGGAGGGTGCTTGCTGACAGGCCCGCAGCTGCTGGTGGTTCGGTCAGTGGATCAGCTGGGCAAGTGGGAGTGCCTGGCCGTGCTGCTCGCGATCGGGCTGGCTGTGAAGCTCATTACTTGGCTGCTGCTTGTGAGGCTTCGGCACGCCAAGCAGATTTAGAGAAGGTGGGAGGGTGCTTTTTCTCAAGCCCGCAGCTGCTGGTGAATCGATCACTGGACCAGCTGGGCAAGTGGGAGTGCCTGGCTGTGCTGCTCGCGATCGGGCTGGTTGTGAGTGAAGCTAGCAGCAGCAGCAGCAGCAGCAGGCGGGTCAGCAGGCAGCAGTGCCGCAGCAGGGGGGGATATCAGACACCGTGTGGCACAAGGTGCGCTTCTCACCCTCCCCTCTCCTTTCTGTGTTGGTGTGACTTTCTAGAATTCTTTCGAGAATTTTCATTCTCAAAAGTCACACCAACATAAGGGGGATATCAGACACCGTGTGGCAGTAGGTGCGCTTCTCCTGTCCCTCTCCTTCCTCCCTCCCCTCTCCTTTCTCCCTCTTCCTCCCCTGTCCGTCCCTCTGTGGCCTGACTGACTGCAAGTCGTCTTGCTGCCCCCGCCTTTGCGTTTGTCCCGCTCTGCAATGTTTCACGTGCATTGTGATTGCTGCTCGTGAGGCTTTGGCGGGCCAAGCAGAAGTACAGAGTGTGGATATGGGGTTTCGAGGCGGGTCGGAAGCACAGTGCAGAACGTTGTGCCATTCCAAAGGTTTAATAAATGCAGCTGAGGTGGAAAAGTGAGGTTGGATAAAAGTGTAAAATTGCTTGTTGCAATACATGTTGTGTTTTGTAACAATGAGTTGCTGTCGTCTTGGCTTTGTTTGGTGCTCATGACATATAGTTGGGAGTTGGAGGAAGGTGAAGCATGATGCAAGGGCAGCTGATGTCAAATGTTGCACATTGTTATAATAGGCTGCAGTGAGTAGCACTATAGAGAGTACAACACTTTCTAGGTTTGCTATTGGTATGACTCACCTTCCTAGTTCGTTCATTCCGTTATGTTCCTACTTTGAGATGGTATCAGTTAGGTTCGTTTCCTAGCCTAGCCTAGCCCGTGTTCGCGCCCTCCGCGCCCTAGCGCTCTCCGCCCCCTAGCGCTCTCCGCGCCCTCCGTGCTCTCCGTGCCCTCCGCGCCCTCCGCGCCCTAGCGGCCTCCGCGCCCTAGCGGCCTCCGCGCCCTCCGCGCTCTAGATCCCACCGCGCCCTCCGCGCTCTCGCGCCCTCCACGCCCTCAGCGCCCTAGCGCCCTCCGCGCCCTCCGCGCCCTCCGCGCCTAGCCTGCTCCTTCGCCAGCGCCGGAGCC